AGTGGTATTGTATTTTAAATTTCAGTTTCCTATGACTTGTTATTAGTAAATAGAAATGTAACTGAATTTTCTATATCGAGCTTGTATTATGCAACCTTGGTAAGCTCACTTTCTGGTTCTAGTAGCTCTTTTTGTAGATTCCATTGGATTCTACACAGATGATTATGTCATCTGTGAATAAAAAGAGTTTCACTTCTTCCTTTCCAACCTGAATATATCCACCACCGCTCCCCCTCCCCCTCCCCGCCCCCCACTGCCGCCTTATTGCACTGGTTGGAATCCCTTGTATAATGTTGAAAAGAAATTATGAGAGTGGAAATCTTTCTTATTTCTGATCTAGGGGAAAGGTACTTATTCTTTCACCATTAAGCATGATGTTAGCTGTCGGTTTTTCATAATACCCTTTATGAGTTTGAGGAAGTTCTTAGTGTTCTGAGAATACTAATTCTTAGTGTTCTGAGAGTTTGTGACAAATGCTCTGTGTCAGATACTTTTTCTGCACCCAATGAAATGTTCATATGGCCTTCATTTTTTAGCTTGTTAAAATAGTAAATTACATCAGTTGATTTCCAAGTGGTAAATATACTTTAGATTCCTGGGGTAAAGCACAATTGGTCATGATGTACAATCCTTTGGGTGAATTGTTGAACTAGCTTGGCTGCCACATTCCAAAAATATTTTTGCATCCATGTTCTTGAGTGCTATCTACTGACTCTTTTCCTTTAATGTATTTGACTTTATCAGGGCAATGCTAGATTCATAGAATAATTTGGGAAGTATCTTATCCTGTTAATTTTCTGGAGGTTTTTGTGGAGGGTTGGTATTATTTCTTCCTTAAATGTTCTGTAGAAGTCACCAGTGAAGCCATTTAGGCTTGGAGTTTTCTTTGTGGGACGATTTCTTAATTACACATTTAATTTTTAAAATAGATATAGGGATGTTCAGGGTATCTATTTCTTCTTGAATAAGCTTGATTAGTTTTTTTATTTCAAGGAATGTGTCTACTTATGTTGTCAAAATTATTACTATAAATTGTC